ATTTAAAGTACTCTACAATTAAGAATATCCTTTGCAGAAATTCTGAACAATATTGTTACAAGTAACACTTATATTATTTTCTAATATTTATCGTGAAAACTTAGAATTCTGAACATTATTTCTATACAATCGAAAGTTTAATGTGATTTTGTGAAAATTTAACCTTAGAATATATTGGCTAAAATACATCTATATGTAACTAAAGCAAAATAGAAAAGCGAAACCTGTTAGGTAAATAATGTGCGTGTTTGGACAGCATATAGTTCTGTCAATTCTAGCGGAAAATATTGGCCGTTTTTTGGCATAAAAATTTTTGATGCAACTCTATACAAACAGAACAGACTAAATATCAAATTCTTCTATACACTTTCTAAAAGATCAAATGAGCATAAAAGATCGAATGCTTGTTTGCTTGAAGTCTTTTTCATTCAAATTCATTCTTTTTGGTGGTTAGTTCTTTTTGTAGATTTTTTTCATTCTGACATTTATATTTCTTTCAAACGAGTGTGTTCAAGATATTATTCCTTGATTTATAATCTACTACATAGATTATCGCGCAGAAATATCCTTCTGATGCAAATAAATTTTCTTCTTTTGTAAGTCAAGATGAGATGAGTATAACCACTCGAGAAATATTCTCGCGTAAAGAACAAGAAATGAGTTCGACACTTTAGTTGACTTTATGCTCTTTGTCTTTCCTTTACTTCGTCTTTGACAATTCAGTCATAAGAGCAATCGATCTAGTGTCATCAACTAAGAATGCAAAGGTATGTTATGGAACTGACGCATATGTCAATTAGTTACCGAGACATAATTACTTCCTGTTATAATAAAATAAGTGAACTCCATAAGTTAAAGAGACAATTCAATATTTCATGATTACGTGAGAGCTAGTTAAGATTATATCTTCTAACTATTTTAACTCCATACCCACCCAAAATCGATTTCATTTACCCGGTGTTCGGTTGGAATAAAGTGAAAATAGTTAGAAAATATAGTCATGACTGCATCTCAAACAATCATAAAATATTGAGTTGTCTCTTTATATCACTTGATCCAAAAATGACACATGTAAAAAGATGTTTAATATATGAAACCAAAAAAAATTCGTAAAAGTCACACACTTTAGCGCGTTAAACTATCTGACACCGTAAAAACTTTTTTCAGAATTATAATGCGTACGCAACGAGTTAATATATGCGGTTTTTACAATTTGGAACGAGTTTATTTTTGACCTGTTTTTACGGTTTCTTTGTTATTGATTTGTCTAGCTGAGTACAAAGACATAAGGCTATAAGAAGATAAAGCTGTAAGAAGATAAGGCTGTAATGAGGTAAGGCTATAAAGGGCTAAGGATACAAGAGATACAAGCGACGTATGGCTATAAGGTCGAAGGGCTACACGGGCTACAAAGTTATTAATGAAATAAGAATACGACATCGTAGGGATATCTAAATACATAATATCGAGTGTCTGTATGACTCTTATTATGTGAAAGGTGGAAGGTTTTAGATCATACGTTAAATGAAAAAAAAGTAGCCGTGAAGTATACACGGGTTCCTGCTAGTCTTAAAATGATTTCATTACATTTTTTTTAACGTTTTTATATTATATTTGTTTTCTAAAGTATCGGGTGACCAATAATAAATGGCCTCACTTTACATCTCATATTTTCATCTCTAAACAAGTATTATCAAAACACAATATATACCACATGATGTAGCGTGAAAAGTTCTACAATTTACATAAGACCGCTTTTCCTACAAGTGCACTTTTTTACTTTCAAAATCGGCAAAATTCGGAGCGATCAAATTTTCACCATCCGAAAATTGATAGTAGAGAATTTTACTTTTTTTGAAAACAATTACAATAAGCTTTACTGTATAAACTGTAGAGCTTTTCTCGCTGTATCTAGTGGTATATTGTGTTTTAAAAAAAAAAGAAATCAGGTGATAAAAAGATTAAATAAGAAAGACACGAATCCATCTTCTACAAAAAGATATCGTTTTCGCATGGTCGAAATTTGATCGCTCCGAGTTTTGCCGACTTTTAAACTAAAAAAGTGCAACTATAGGAAAGTGGTCTGGTGTAAATTATAGAACTTTTCACGTTGCATCTTGCGGTATATTTTGTTTTTTGATAAATACTTAATTAGAGATGAAAGTATTGAGATGCAAAGTGCGGCCATTCATTATTGGTCACCCGGTATTTAAAAACCGACTTCCAAATCTAGTTTAGCATTCGACTATATAGAATACATCTGCTAAGACTATTTAAATTTTTAATAAATGTTTTCCAAAACTGCACTGTTTGTACTGATAATAGTCCACTAGCGACTAAAACTTAAATATTTGCTCAGATGTAATCTTCAAAATGTATCCTTAATTATTACTCAGCTTGCAATATTCGAAAAATAAACAAAGATAAAACGGACCCGAAACTTATGGAACATTTCTTTTATATATATGTTGTTTTCACCTAAAATCCGATGGTTAGATGAGATTCTTGCAGTTAGAATAGTTTTTAGCGTACAGTTTCACATGTTACTAGACGTTTGATTTGTAAACTGAGTAAATTGTTAGAGAAAATAGCCCTATTTGTAGACTTAATTTGCTCGAAAAATAGCTCATATGAGTTCCTAGTTATTACATTCTTGTCATTACCTTGTAACAATGACTTAATAATTTTATTTTGGTCTGTGAAAATCTCTACCGTGTAATAGAGACTCGCATAGTGCGAAATTAAATTAATGAGTCATTGTTACAAGACAATGACAAGACTGTAATAATTAAGAGCTCATATGAGCTGTTTTCCAAGCACACTAAGTTTATGAATATGGCTATTTTCTTCAACAATTTACTCAGTTTAGAAATTGAAGGAGTAAAAATGTACGCTTTTTACGATTTCATTTTCGTTAAAAGTTCGATGCGTTTTAACGCATTTGTTTCGTTGTTTGTTTGACTGAGTAGTTCGCTCTCGGATTAATCATATTTCTTCATCGCCCAAAAATGATATTGTTCACTTTTTACCTATTTGCTTTATTATGTAAGTCATAAAAAGTAGGAACCAGTATTAGCTTCTAGATGTATAGAGCTATAGGAGAATCAAAGTCACTGATATAATGTGACAGAACAAAGAAAAAAATGAACTCCATGAGACTTGAACCATACACTCTGCTATCCAGGCAGATGAAACGGATTCGACCAACACACGTATGATGATTCTCTACGGTAAAAATGACCCAAATTCTAAAGAATCAAGCTTGATCTTTTTGCCATTCGTTTTGTATATTCCATTCATCACTCGCCTGGTTCTCATAATAAAAAGCTGACTATGTTTTCATTCGACATGTACGACATCATATGGACAAAGATGTTCTACGAATCTAATTGTCATAGAATGTCGACACAGTGGTCTTTGAACAAGAAGGAGGACAATATATATTTTCTATAAATTTTTCTCCGCCTCGTATCTCATGACAAGTCCTATCGATCTGAAAGAATGACTCATTCTATGTACTACGGTAGACATTATAGGAACGCATTGCTCATATTTATGCATACGTCATAATATTTTGGCATTATAGTCTGTAGAAAATATCAAGAACAGCATATTTCCTCATGTATTATTTTACTATTTTGTAGTTTTCGACGAGTTCGATCTACCGTACTGAAATTCTTCTTTGACATTGAAGTTTGCTCTGAATCACAGAACCCATAGAATGTTGCTTCTTAAGAATTCTACTGTGCGAATGTTAATTAGTTTTCACTATTTAAGAGTCCAAAAAAGTTATTCTATGGGTACAGACTAGTATGTCGTTGAAAAGAAGAGTATGTATAATATCGAAAAAGTTACTTCCTAAGTGGTTTTGAAATGGAACCAATTTAGAGACAAAACGGCCTTCGTCCTTTTCATCAAAGAATTTCTGGAAAAAATTCAAGTGTAAACTCGGAATTCTAAATGGAACATTAGCAAAAACAGAATGACACTTAGGAAACTTGCGAACACCCATGAACACCTGAAAGGAAAGAGAAACAAAGATCTAGTAATAAAAACAGGTAGAGTTCGTCCAACTATACTTACGAACATCTACAAATACCATATTTGAATAACTTTTTGAGAAACCCTATATACTTCGACTAAAGATTGACCTATGAAAATCCAAAACCATATGCAAAGGCTCACAAAGAACAATTAGACACGAACGAAAACATACGAAAGTCTTTTCTTTAATCTTATTTTCAGACTCAGAATGTTAGCTATACTAAGAGTTCCTGAAAGAAAATATCTTGAAAACTTCGACTTTTTTCAGGTGTTGATGGATGAGACTGGCGTTCACGTATTACCAGCTGAAAAAGTCGAGTTTTTCAATACGTTTTGTTTCAGGAATTCTTAGATTAGTTAACATCCTATGCCTAAAACAACATCAAAGTCAAGCCTTGCGTAAGTTTTCGTTAGTGTCTAATCGGTTCTCATGGACCTTCGCACATAATCTAGAGTATCCGTAGGTCAAATATCAATCGAAGTAGAAGATGCTTCTTCAAAAAGTTATTTTAAAATTATGTCCGTAGATGTTCGTGAGTGTAACTTACTGAGTTCTACATGCTTATACTATTACATCTTTGTTTGCATTTCGTTCCAAATGCTCATACGCGCCCTAGTATTTGACAGATGACCATAAAAATGTATGCCACTATTCATGGTGCGATCTTTTCAACCTGTTTTGCCAGTGTCCTCTTTATATCTATCTTAAGATTATTTTTATGGCTAAGATAAATGCATCGTTCATGTTCCGTGTATCAATTTCAGCGCTCGTATCATTTATATTCCTACTACTATGTTCTTACACGAACAAACGCTTTACTGCAGTAACATCTATTTCTAACGACCAAACACAAACAATATCTTCATATGCCGGTCAGAAGACAGATACATCTACTCAGGATTATGGTTGGAAATTGGTTGGACATACATATGATGAGCAGGTTCGTCTTCGAGACATGGCTACTATCGTTGCTGCCTGGCCTGAAACTGCTGAGGACAACGTACCTACAGTGCCATGTTTATCTGCTGATGGACATTTACTTGTACTAAGTGCTGGCGCAAGTCGTGTGCGCTATGGCGTAAGTGTGACTTTTATAATGGTCTATCCTACCGATGTGAAACGTGTCTTACCAAAAGAGAATTCAATACAACCGCTTTCTTCTAATTTGTTGAGCTTGTGGTGTGTTTTTGATGATGGATCGGTGACATCCGCATACAGTTACGATTCAAGCTATGGCAACGATCGTGTATCTCTCCTTGATTGTTCACTCAGTCCCTTTGCTAGTGACCAATTATGGCGATACAATCGAACATTACGAGTGTATCTTGCTTCGACAACAGACAAAGATCGAAATGTACCCATTCTGAAAGCATTTATCACTGTTCCAATACTTTCTTTAATCCCACCCAATTCTAGTCAGGAATTGTTAACATTATGTACTTCACCACTACACAATGGAGCTGAATATTTAACTCAATGGATAGAATTCCATCGACTGGTCGGTTTTCGAAAGTTCGTTGTTTACAATACAACTGATAACCATCAACGCTTGTCATCTGTTGTCAATACTATCAATCGAAAATATTCGAATCTAGTTGATGTTGTTCAATGGAATTTCTCATCTCTTGGTCTGACTGACATTTTGTCGGCACGATACTTTCAGACTGAAGCTTTGCATGATTGCCTGATTCGTTATGGTGATCAATCAGAATGGTTAGGTATGTTTTATCTCGATGAGTACATTGTGCCTCTTGATCCATATCAAACTGTGCTTGACTATTTGCATGACAACTTTCGTCGACGTATCATCGGATCTATCAATTTATGGAGTCAATTCTTCTGCACAAAAGAAGCTGATAGGTACACACGCGAAGAGAATGACACAAATCGTTTAGTTATCGATCGATTTATTCTTCGCACACGTGATCGTTATAAAAAAGGACGCGAAAAATACCTTTATCGACCACGTTTTGTTCAGTATTTATCTATTCATCACCAAATCGTCGGTCTTTCAAAGGAAGAGCCCTCACAAAATCACATACTTTTGGCTCATTATGCATCGATGAATCGACTCCGAAGTATGCCAGGTTGTGGTAATGATCAATATGTGACAGACAAGAGCTTTCGAGGCCGATTCGCTAAAAAAGTCAAGGACGCAATAGAAAATTTGACAGTATAACAATATATCTGTGTTAGAAAAGAGAAGTTTTGTGCAAATCATTAGTATTGCAACACTTCACAAATATTTACCACATCACCTATAACTCGTCCGAAAAACATCGATAATTGTTGTTTGCGCACGACATCTTTCTCACGTAAAGCTACCTTTCCCATATCGTCTATGAACTCATCGAGCACTATTCCACAGAATCGACTACTCTAGCTTGATCTCAAACTCTATCTTATCTAAATATATTTGAAAGAGTGTGTTGACAAACCTAGATCTGCAAACTGGTAGACGAAGCAAACACTTATGTTAGTCAGCTGAGAGTTAACAAAAAGCAGGCATTGTTAAATTTTCGGAGAGAATACGCTATCTCGTTTTTCACTTGTTTTCTTCGCTACTTTACTATCCATTTTTTTCTCAACTACTCATGAGACAGCGCTAAGAATACTGGATCACTGTTAGATGTTATACATTCTATACAGAAATCTGAGAAGCTGAAATTTGAAGATATCTTCTCTCGATTAAAAATATCTGAGGACAAGCTCTCAAGTAAATTCTGAAGTTTTCAGCGGCTACAAATCTCATATAATGCAGCCAAAGTTAAAATAAACTTGAATTGATATAATGCTTCTTGCCAGAAGGCATACAAAGTCAACAAAGTTTAGAATGACCCCTCGCTATCATGCGTGTTTCTCAGTCAGACTATCTTTCATAGGCATGATACTTTCCTGTAGTACTATTGTCGAGTTTTTCTTAAGAAGATCGTCCACTGGTTTATCAATAGTTCTCAAATGCGAATACTGATTTTGGGAGAACTCATATGGAGTATTGTAGATATTGAAGTATCGATTTTTCTTATAACTTTGTCAATCATTCACTGATATTAAAACTTTTTCAAAAGAGAAAATAAATATGTAATAATAATCTGATCAATAACTAGCTATGCACTGCCAATATCTATTGAATAAAAAGTCAAAGTGTTCTGCAACAAAAATACAAAATCTGTATCTATGGGACAAAATAGATACAAATTCATGTGATAATATGTAGTAATCATAATATTCGTATTATGATAACAAATACTTGAAGAATTTTATACAGAAAATAGGTAAGATGTATCGAATCTGTCTTGAATTACTTTGATTCATACCAGTACAGAAGTAAGACATGTAACTCAATAGTTAGCTTGTTTAAGTTTGCACTTATAGAATCATTTATTTGTCGAAAAGTTGATTATATTTCATCTTTTTTATTAATTCTATAATGACAAAATTAACTAAAATGAAGAATGTCCATAGATGAATTGCTTAAAGACAAGCATGATGCCACTATTTGATGAACGATTTAGGATAAATGTTAGCGAGTATTAGTACATAAAATGAACTACGAGGAAGAGGATCACAACTGTCCTGTATTCAAATACTGTTGTTATATTTTCCAATAAATAGATGATTCTCGTCTGCTAATTTTAATTCATCCGAAAATTAGCCAGTTACTATTGTTGCGAATAATACTGAATAGAAACTATTATTCATCATAGTTTTGAGATTTTGTTGGATGATAAGAGAAGCATCCACATAATCAAGTCTAAATATCAATCTAACAGTAAAAAGATGTATTATTGCAACTCTTCCTATCTTGAATGTTTTCTTCTTCGAGTCTGATAAATTTTTGTAAAGAAAACAGTTATGTATAAATGAATCTAAAATGTCAATCATCTTATTGTTAATGCATATCATGAATTATTCATCAAGATTAAAATGAAAGTATTGCATTATCACATGTACAGTATTTATTACTTCAAAATTTATTCTTATTATCAAATATATGTTAGCTTATAACATTATGGTAAACTTAGACAGTGTGACTTAGAAAGTTTTGTTGTGAAAATCCGTTATGACGAATATTTTTTTTTTTAAATATTAATTATATTGAAATTCTTTTCTTTTATTTAGCGTAACACAAGACATCAGATTTCTCAATGCTAGTTGGTTATGACCTTCCTCTAACTTGTTCGAATCGCGCTGACATATTTACCACAGATGCTTGGAAATATCTTTCAGAGATTAAAATCAATTGTTGTTATTTTTGACCTTCATATCTGAATTTATAGGAGTTTAAAAGACAATTAAACACATCTTGGCTTCGAATCTTTTCGCATTTCCCTCAAAAAAAATGGAAAATCCGATTTTTCGAAAGCACTCAGGAATTTTTCTAAGATATGGTTCAAGGTATTTCCAAGAGCATTTCAGATGGATCGAACAAACTTTAATTAGAGTCATAGTGTACTAATATGCTATCCTATGAAGAACCCTCTTGAAGATATTTTTCCTTCGATATGTGTCTTCTAGCTCAAAGTACTCTAGGTGTCGTGAAAAGTTCAATCTAACCCGCTGTATCCTTTTCAAGAATCACAAATGGACAAAAACAAGAAGCAGGGCATCCTTCAGACAGTTTTACATATATATTGAGTGATACGAAGATAGAATACATGATTATTCATAGAAGTGTATCTAGATCAAAAAAAGCACGGAAGCGCAGAGAAAGTTAATAGTATTCGTTTTGATCAAAATATGGAATAGATGAATATAAGTAATGTTCGTGCCAGAATTAATGAGGAATAATGTAGACATTTTCATATTAGATAAGCAAAATTAGTTGAAAGTTCGGCATGGTTACGAATAATTCAAAATAGTCCATGAAAATGGTACACTGTTTCAAGAAAATTTACTACAAAAATCAACAGAATTCTATGGAATTGAACTGATAAGATATGTGATTAATAAAAAAGATTAGTTTGATATCTTCAACTTTCTAAGTTAGTGCTTTTGCAAAATGCTATTATCGAATTTGTTGTTCTTAAAATAATGCGTTTTTTTACTTTAAGTTTCTCCACTTTGTTATTTAAAACTTTTTATTTCAAATTTAATAGTGTAACCAATTGCTACCTTGATTGTTCGAAGTCTCATGAACATTATTAAAAAAAAATGCCAAAACTGTTTGGACATCATTTATGAACCTGATGTTTGCTGATGGCTTCGCCACAGTATTTGAAATTCTTGAGGATGTGGATAGGGTCCTTCTCTGTGATAGACACAGATTCACATCCATACCCTCGTTGAACGAAAATCGATCGACCCAAGAAATAGTCGAAAAATTCATAATAAAACAGAAAAAAAAAAGATTTTTAACAAAAGCGAGAGTAGTGTGAAAAATAAAAAGTATTAATACATATGCTGTCACCAGTACTTAAAATTCTTGTGACAATACTCTTTACAAGTAAAGTGGACATTCACTTTTCTCCAGAACAATTGACTTCAAGGAAGAGAAAAAAAATTAAAAATAATCGGTGTGGGATGTGCGAGTCAGTCTTTTTGGACCTCATCGAATGATCAAATCCATACCCAGAACTATACCGACCTTTCCAGCCACATCACAATCTCAAAATGCTTTTTTCTAATTCCACATTTCTGTCAGAATTAACTTCGATGTAATTTCATGAAAATCCGTAATTCTTACAATTTTACTTGTGAAAAGAAATTCGAGTTCATATTTTGCATGTATTAGCAAATCATTTGTTCCACTGTAGTGCTTTGAATTTTAGTAATGGCGTCTTGGTTGAAGCTTTTAGTTTTTTTAATAATGAATTTTTCAACTAATTTTCATTCGACGAATTTTCGCTTTTCCGAAAATCGCAGATCTCTCTCTTGTTCTCATTAACAATTTAGGAAAAACGGCAATTACTCTTTTATTTTGAACCAAGCAATAGTTTTCTATCATTTATTTTTACACATATTGTTTGCATCTATAAATAAATTAGACATTGATTCTTATCACACGTATGTTGCACGTTTGAAAATGAGTCATTATGTTTATTTATTCTTATATTTATAAAAATATTATGTAGTACAAAGTATGAAGATAGAACGAACAACTATCAATTTTTATGATTGGTAGAAATGGTTTAACGACATTGATTCAACTATTATCAGATATTTACGCATTTGATTTGTAATTGAATGTAAGGTATAGGTTAAAAAAGAATAATGTCCTTGGATATTTTTGTATGGATAAATAGAATATCTATACTATCATACTATTTTTATCATTTTGCATAGATTTTTCGATAATATATATGACAAAATTATTTTGTAATTTTAAAAAATTATTTTTCTTCTATTATAGATATGGGTCGCATTCTTAGATTTCTTTTTGGTACTTTATCTTTTATAATAGCATTGATTGCAATTGGTCTTGGATATTTAAAACTTGATAATGTTTATCGACAAAAATGTACGTTGAAATATTTGATTAATTCTTATTTTAAATATATTTTCATATTATTATTATTATTATTATTTCTTTTTTAGTCTTTGCTAGTTTTTTAAATAAATTATCCGATCCTAATAATTCTGCTATCATGAATCTACGATGTAATGAATTATTAAAACATTCTAATGTTAAAGGTCATGTATTAGAAATTGGTGCTGGTACAGGAATAAACTTTCCATGTTTATATAATAACACAAGGATTAAATCATATATAGGTATTGAACCTAATATTCATATACATCCATATTTTTATAATTTTATTAAACAATGGGACATTCCATATAAAGTTCGTCTTTTGAATAATTCAGCAACAGATATGCATGAAGTTGAATCGAATAGTATTGATACAGTTATTATGACATTAGTATTATGTAGTGTACCAGATCCATTACCAGAAAAAATTCTTCTTGAAGCACATCGAATCTTAAAACCAGGTGGACATTTTATTTTCTTTGAACATGTTGTTGCTAATCCTAAAACTAATCCATTTATTTATGGATTTCAAAAAACGATTGAACCATTTTGGGCTATTATTGGTGATGGTTGTCAATTTAAACCAATAACAAATTACTTCGATGCTATGAAAAATGTCTATTCAAAAGTTAAATATAAACATACTGATTGGCCTTCTCCGTTTTTTTTTGTTAAAGATGCTGTCAAAGGAAAATTGATCAAATAAGATGTTTTTTCTCCCCTTTCTTTCAATTAATTCACTTTTTTTTTATTGTAGTGTTATTTTTGTCTTTCATTCATAAGGCTATATATACCGGTTGTATTTCAAATGTCATGATCACTTAATACATACATATAACATCGCTACTAATCAAGCTAAATCGAATCCTTTTCTTTTAATTTGAAATAGAAAATGAATAAATTTTTATTCATAAAGGTCATTTTCATCTACAGTATAGTTTCATTTAGGTAAAAGCTACAGCTTAGTACATTTGTAAAGAAGTCTTCATTTGACAAAACGATTGACTCGAATATTTTTTTTTTGATACCTTCGAAAATAAAATCTTAGAGTTTTTAAGTTCATATTTGAAAAGTACACATATTCTGATGTTAACTAGTGGTCGTGACTGAAACTTGTCCACAGACAATCATGGATACTACAATAATCATATATCCTGTGTCTGTGATAACTCCATTAAGTTTTTCATAACACAAATAATTTTATATATTTAGCTGATTGCGATAATTTATTCTTGCTTTTTTTTTGAATCAATACAACCAAACATAAATATTACAGGAGAAATAGTTTTCTTCTTGTTGGTTAATAATCTCGTCATTTTTATTTGTTGTTGCCTTTATCGAATTTTCAGGACAATATCATCATCGTTCAAGGAAGGAGATTACGACTTGCGATATAAAACTAGAATAAATAACTATGACAAGAAAACTTGATCACGTCGGACACGATTTCTAATCCATAGCTTTTGACTCTGTGAAAATACTCTCAAGAGAAGCAAAAATTAATAAATATTTTGTCTCAAAACTTTCGGTAAAACTTAAAATCGGAGCTGAGGAATTCGAATCTGTAATCGGTTTCTCAATATTTTGAACTTGATTTTCTGCAAAAAAAAGTATTTTACAAAAAAGTAGATTTAAAATAAGAACATTTTCTTTCCACCAAAACCAAGCTCAAAATTTTGAGAAACCGATTACAGATTTGGATTTCTCGACTTCGATTACCTCTGACTTTTTTCTTAAAAAAGCTTTTCTTCATTAGAAAAAAACGTTACTCTAACATAACTTGGCTTTGTTAAAGTTGACGTTTAAAGTTGAAGGATGCTACGCTACTTTATTTTGAACTGTGAAGTAAATTTAAAGTGCCAACCCTAATGTGTAAATATAAGACTTGTTACTCGATTATAATCTATACGTGGTTCATAGTCCAAGACAATACTTTCAACAGAAATAATTCCTTCATCTTCAGCTTTATCAGCTCACATAGATCCTTGAATACAATCACTGATAATATAAATATCTTTACGTGTTCCTTGAAAATTTTTATCAACTTCAATTCGGCCAAGTTGATTCAATTTAATACCTCAAATTAAACCAAAAAGAAACACAATACAAATTCAATGGTAATCATTTAAAAAAATTTCAAATATAATGTGATAGAAAAAAAGAGAAAGATGAAATCTGTAAAGTATTTGATGTCACTATTGACATTCCATGCAATCAAAAATATTCTGACTCATAAGGTAAAATAGGTTAAAACCCTCTAATGACATGTCTAATTTGCCCAATCTCGTTGTGAAAGAATTGTTGAATTGAAATGTATATTACGATAGAGTTTTTTAATAATTTTTGGTATGCATGATATGAAACAGAACTGCATGTGTTGGTGAAATAGTATCATCATTTCAAAGGAGTCCGAAAATGCAAGAGACATTAGAAACCGAGAAAAAGAAGCTTGTTTTTGTAATAATGTGAATGAACTTAATAATAATAGTCATACACGCATCTGTAACGAAGCTATTATCGAGACTAAAATACAAAGTAGATCAAAATTTTCTGAATAACTTTTGACAAGAATCGGATAAACACAATCAAGTAAGATTTTACGCGAGGTTGTTGAAACAGTTTTTTGGAAAACTATTTCGTTGCATTTCAACTGATGCCATGGTCATTCGACAGGGAAAATCGTTCTCTTTTGATTTACACAAACCTGACATTCCTAACTTGTTCTATTCCAAAGATCTTAATTTCAGCCTGAAAACTTTACAGCTCTTCGAATGATTTTAAGACAAATGTAATTCATCGGGCTGAATCTAGTGGTAATATTTGTTATCAGATCCAAAAGCATTATAATAAGACTTTCGAAAGCTCAAATTTCACTGCTAAATCTGAAAAGTCAGTATTTCGAATATCTTGTTATAATGGTTTTAGATCTCTTTGAAACTGAATAGAAACATTACCACTCTACTCAATGTGATGAACTGCCCTTGTCTTGATCATTCTCTGTCTACTCCAAAGTGATTAAACCGAAATCTGCATCTCTAGAAAACACTCAGAACTCATGATCAGAACAAGTTAGAGAGACGGCAGCTTTGTGTAGATAGAATAATTATAGCATAAATCGAAATGGAACAGAATAGTTTTCAAAATCTCTCAGAAAACTCATCTGATTGATCGATCCCTGGACCAATCAACTCAAACTCAATTTTATGATTTTTGATGTTTTCTTTTTAATAGTGAAATCTACAGGTCTCTATTTTATTTCTACCAAAAGCTATTCGGAAAAATTGATATGCCTCATATTTTGTCGTCAATAAAAATTAGAGATCGAACGAAAATACTCTACAAATTTATTTACTAAGAATGAACAGTTTGACTATTGTTGTTTAGCACAGCTGGAGAACCATGTGTTAGATATGCATTGGATAGTTATGAAAGAAGAGAAGAGGTTCAAATCTTTTATTTTAAAATAAAATATATATAATATTTCATGGCTTTATATGATAAACCAACAGATATAGGTACTAGTGTATTATTTAGATGATCAAATTCAAAAACTCATTATAATATAATTCCAGAATCTCCCTAATATCTTACCAACACTATCAAGACCAAGATCTTTAGTATATGGTCTTTGACCAATACATACAAATAGAATGTCACAATCAAGCTATTTTAATAAAAAACTGTATAAGTCAATAATAAAATAGAAAAGAAGTAATAAAATAAATACTGTGTTTTTATTACCACCTTAGAGCTTCTTCGACATTTACAGGAATATCTCCATTTGTTTTTCTAGTATCAGCTACTTTTGTATAAAATTTAAATTTCAAACTCTGTTTTATTAAAATTTTTGGAAAAGTTTTGTTTATATTCATATCAATACCAATATTATCAAAACAGGATAAAATTTCAATAGATGTTACATCAGCATCTAAACGACTCTATAAAGTAGTTTATGAAAAAAAAACAATAATAAATTTTACAACAAAATAGAAAATTGGTTAAAACAAAAAAAAACTCATCCTAATTCAAGTCTGATAAAACCTGAATCAATTAAAAACATCTTCTTCGACATTTATTTAAGTGAAAGTGCACTCTGTCAATGAAACAACCGTTTCTTTATCAATCTAATATTGTAAATTCAATGAAATACTTTCGACTATAATTCAATTTTTAATTATACTAAAGCAAAACTGTTAATAATGTATCTTCTATGCCTCTTTCTTTAAGGTTCACGATAACCAGTTATTATAATAGAGACAAGAATTATGAACTAATGCTTTTGAAAGAATATAGCCAACATTAAAACATGTTTTATCATATGTCGCAAGTAAAGATAACCACCAACTTATCTTCAATATACAAATTTTGAGTACATCTGAAAAATACTGACAAAACTAATATTCATATACTTACAATTAAGAAAGTATCGGTTTACAGATGAAATGTGTTACACAGAAGATGAAATATTCATAATTATATCATTTTCATCGTTTTAAAAAAAACACCCTTGTCTGTCACGCACGAACACATTAATCAAAATGACGCTAGAACACAACCAAAAGTAAAAAACTTAAGAGGGGAGTTATGGGATTATCTAGCACAGAAAGCACTCGATAAAATCAATTCGATTTTTTTCTGGTACATTAAATGCAATAATGTCTGAAACCAACAGTCCCAAAATTTTACCGTTCAATACTCTTTCTATCAGAAGTTAGTCAATACCAGTTTTGTATTACTACTATATCCATATGAGAAAAACCAACAAACAATAGCCTATAAATAGCGTTCTCGTTTTCGTTTGAACGGACAATACAATGTTTTTTATAAATTATGCTAAAAGACAGACAATTAAAAACTGAACATTTTAATAAAATATGATGTTGATCGACTCAATTTTTATAAGCCCAACACGAGCAAAAAAAAATGGCTCTTTCGATTAGTCTTACAGTGTTCGTTTGATAACAATGTATCTTCTATCGAGATTCACAATCCGAGAGTTACAAGCTGAATTTTATATATCTTATGTAATTTTTTATTCTCTACATGGTAAAAATAAAGAACTAGTAGATTCTGAACGAAACGGATTCACATCTCTCTCTCATACATAACTGTTTTTTGATGACTTTGCATGAATAGAAAAAAAATTTAGCGGTTTTTATTAACATGACAAAATGATAAACCAAAATAAACACAGTATTCAGTGTCAGCATAAAGAAAAACACGATGATTGAAAAAATTTTTTAAATATTTTTCTGGTAAAAAATTCACCGCTAATCGTCCACAGCTGTACTCTACTAAAACTTAGTCTCGTTAGTCGATTTTTGGTAGGAAAACAATGTTCTGAAATGTGTTTCACTCAATATAGTTTTCATACCGGCTTCGATTATCGTGTAACAATTTTGTCATGACAATGTAAACGGCTGATATGTTCTTAATTGAAAAATCATCAAAAACCATTATGCAAAAAAGAGAGAAAGATGTAAATCCTTTTTCGTACCCGGCGTACTACTTTTTTTAAACCATTTTATAGAGAGTGAAAAGTCGCATGAAGTATATAAAATTCAGCTTAAAACTCTTTAATTCTAAATCCCGATAAGGGTTACATTATTATCAAATGCACATTTTAACACTAATCAAAAGAGCCATTTTTCATTCAGGTTGACCTTATAGAACTTGAGTCTATTAAAAATGTATTGTATTGAAGTA